ATCAATCTTATGATTGGCCATTTGCGAGTACAATCAGGACTCGTAACACCGGTCGCGCTTCTCTGATAATCTAGGACTCTAGCTATAGTAAAGTCACGTCATACGTAATGTTAAAGTATTATAAAGGTATCAAATAATCGAGGTAACAACAAATTTTACTCAATATTTGCTGCCAGTTTGCCATTATCTTATACAGTATTATACATATTCTTGCTCGATTTTTGCAACCTGTTTGCTGTTAGATTATACCAGCAAATCTTGCGCAAGATTTGTGTTCTCACTTTATAAGCAGCATTTTTCCTATCGTTTTGTAAACATTAATTTAATTAACGGTTTACGGAGAAAAAATTAGAATTGTTGCAACAAAATATTAACGTTATTTTTCTATACAAAATGATTATAGGAATCATAATATTCTGGAAATTATCTATATGTTTGTTCTAATTTTTTTGAGTGAGGGGAGCTATTATATGGATGCTACAACTGTAATAGTTATCTTTAAGTAATATTTTTGCAACCATAGTTATGTACATTATCCTATCTTAGCTCATAGCACTTACAATTTTTACCTGTAGAAAATCCATATATTACGATAGAATATCTCGATGATAAGACATCTATAAGAATTTGAAAGTGTATCTATAAGAATTTGAAGTGTATCTATTAGATATTGATAAAATTCAATTTAGAATAGAATGCAACTGATTACTTCTCAACTGATTATCATAGTTAATCTTCTTGCCTTGTTTGTCGAATACCCTCGTAAAAGAAAACTACTAGTGCAGTGATAATAACATTACTGAAATGTAGTAGTGGCACTGTTGGTATAGCAGCACTTTTTACTGCACTAGTAATCCTTTTTTACTAGGGTAACGAGTTATATAACGAGGGACATATCACAACCATCTGGAACCGGTTTAATTCTCTTTGAAGTATTATTAAACACAAAAATCTAAGAAACATATTTTTTTATACGTGCAGAATCTCATGTTTAGGAAATGAAACACTTTTCTGAAAAAAAAAACGGTTTTTCTCTTTCGGAGCAAATATCGTCGGAAGTATAAAAGATTGACAAAAATTACTTGAATAAAAGTTTGAAAGTATGGTTTGAAGAGTACTTTTAAGTTATAAAAAAATTTTGTTTATTTACAAAATAACCCCACCCTTCAAAGTTTTCTTCTGAATAATTTTTTGAATAATTAAATTCGGAAAAAATAATCTATAATTTGGTGAAAAAAATTTGAAAAAGCTTGAAAAAATTTGAGGCAACCATATATAAAGGTATTCTAATGTTATTTATTCTAAGAACTATAATACGATTGTGAGAGCATACCTTATGGATATATCTTAACAGGCATATTTAATGTAATATCAATATACTTAAATTCAGTTTTTTTTTAAGCATAGAGAATATTGTTGTAACAACTAATTTTTCTGTATTGTTGCATCACATTTGTTACCTTTTTGTCAAGGAAATGCAGACTCTTATATTTTCCTCAGATTTGGCTAATTGGGACAACGTAATGGATAAAGTTATAAAGATAATTAAATAGAAATATCTTAAGATTGCATTATTTTAAAAATATTATCAGGAACATATTCCTAAAATAAAATAATTATAAAATAAAACACATATAGGATTATAAAATAATATGAAACAATATAATAAATAAACCGTATAAATAGCTTTGATAATAATTACAATTAATTGTATAGAATTACGTGTTTAATTCATTATATTATTAAATGACTCTAATATTAATAATCTCTATATGATGACTCGATAAAACATGTATTTATTTATACTATGTTAGAGAAAGAAATATTCACATTCAATTAATTATTTATTTATTTCTAGTTAATTCCACTTTACGTATTTTATACCGCTTTAGCGACTTCTATCTTATCGTCGACATGTAATTTATATTTGCTTTAGGCGATTATCATGATAATTTATCATCCGATGAATATCAGGCTAGAAAGATCTTTTTTTCATCACAGTAAAGAAGGAAATGGCGGTTTTCTTTACTATGACGTAATCTAGTGTTGATTGCGACATTTATTAAAAATTTATTTTAGAAAATTTCCTGTTTATTATAAAATTCACATTTGTAACTTTATTAATTACATAAAAAATTTTTAAATCAATAAATATCTGTTTATTTATAACGTTTTCTTTCGTTCTAAGAAATATAACGTCTATAAGTAATACGTATTATTGAGTCGTAGAAACGAAGTAATCATGAAGAATGCTTGTGATGCTTAAACAGATGTTCGACTGATCTGAGAGATACATTCTTCATTGTCAATTTTAAATTCCCTCGCCGCCTCGCCGCGCCGCGCCGAGGGAATTTAAAAAAGAAAACAATTTGAAATCAATCGATGAATCTGAGGTGAGAAACAGATGATCTTCTTCTTCAATGTTCATTAACATGGAGCCCGCAGCATGATCTCTTTGTGCGTAATATCGCCGGGCGTCGAGCATACCGGTGTAGCCAAGTGAAATTTCATTAATTACAACCTTAATAAATTTATAATAAACCACGATGCGTAAATTGCCTGCGCAAATGCTGATCGTGTATTTGGACTTCTGTCGCAATTGATTTATACGGAGGGTCAATAGACACACGTGTCGTTTGGTTGTCGAAGACGCAGGTGGTCAACGAGTACCGACGAGTTTACCGGTCACGCTCGTGCACACGTTCCTCCTCCTGTGTCTATAATGGTGGTCCCGGTGGTAAGAGTCATTCAGTGGAGATCGAGCAACCGCGACGATCACATCACACAGATCTATCGATTACGCAGGACCGCGCGAGACTTTCCAACGAGGTGCTCCGCCAAGTCAAGACTTGACGACGACTTGATAACTCGCGGTGAATAGTTAACCACGACCATGGCCAGAACACTCTTGTTTATTTTGGCTGTCCTAATCTGCGGCCAGACGATCTTCGTGCACCCCGCGATCCTCGACAACCTATCGTTAAAACGACTCTTGCGACAGTCCCCGCAACGGAAGACATACTGGGAAACCCGCCGACGACTGATACTGGATGAGAAGCGACTGTCTCTAGGCGGCGAACTGGAACTCAGTCCCATCGAGGCCAGGGCCAATCAGGTCCTAATGAGAGCCAAAAGCCGAGAAATCTACGACGGTTTGATCCTTTCACTTACAATCGCTAATTTGCTCGCGAACGCGATCAATTCGCGACTGACCGTCGCGCGTCTGTCTTGTCCGCGATTAAATAATTCGAAGAAAAGATTGCCGCTTTAAGTTTGCTGTGGATTTTCTTTTTTATGAAACGAATCTGTAAGTGTCACTTTAAAGCATTAAGTTTCGCAAAACGAAAATCCATAATTTTCATTAAAAGTTATCTTTATCGCGTTAATTCTAGCATAGAGAAGAAACGGACGGATTACTAAAGATTCTTGTCGCGTCTTTTTAAAGAAAATATAATAATATTGTTTATGACTCCAATAGAATGATTCTTCAAATATGTTTATTGAGAAACGGATAGTTTAATTAATTGTTTAAGTAATTGTATCGGAAAAATTGTGGGATAGAGTTTAAACATTGTAGAATGTATTCTGATTATAAAGAATTAAGAGTTAAAGTGAGGATGTTTAAAACAATTTTTAAAGAAAGTAAGTATTGAAAGAAACACGTTTTGCAGAAAAAATCATAAGTTTTCATTTTTCAATTTTTTTTGTTAAAAATTTATGGTGATATATATCTTGAAATATACTATTTTAATAAAAAAATTAATTTCTTAGTAGACTTAAAAAAAGGTATTTATTTTGCATATTAAACAGCGATAATTTTTGGACAAAAAAAGTAGCATCATTTATAGAAAAATTGAATTTATTATTAAAAAAAAATCAGTTTAAAATTTTTTAATTTAAAATAATACTGAAAGTTAAAACAATAAAATTTTATAAATTTATTCTGAGCTCCTATCTTCGTGACCCTACTTTTACATGTGTATACATGTATATGTATATAATATGTGCTGTGCAGCGCTTCTTCCTATAAAAAATACTTTAAATTACTGCTATGCAATGATACACTAGTATCATTTTGAGTTTTACTTTGAAAATTATCTGTCTCCAAAATCGAGAATCTGGGGTCATTTCTCGTGACAACGGAAGATTTAATATGTTTAAAAGTATGTTATCAATGATTGTGCACGAAACCGTAAACCATTCATAGCGTGAGAATGCATTAGAGTATCCGGTTTTACGACAAACGTGTCAAACAATTTATCGGATGTAATGCTTAATTAAAAGACACGCTAAATATTGAATGTTTTCCTGCAAAAGCATAATTGACATCACAATATAACATGGTGAATTATTACATTCTTGTTGTTTGCCAATGTTAAAGGATGAAATGATTCACTGTGTTACGCCGTGTGTCTGTGCCTTTTGCCTGGAAAATTAACAGAAATCCAAATACCTAGAACTTGGCTGAGAAGCGTAATGAAAAAAAAATTAATATTAACGAGAGAGTCTCAAAGTTACTTTGCGTAATTCTAATTTTTTTCCTTGTTTGATTTATGACATATCGGAATTCTGGTATTTTCGTCAGGTTTCATCACCGGCAATAGCTTTCTACCGTCGCGTAACTTCATGGAAGTGATACCGAAGATCGAGGAGTCCGAGGTGTTCAAGATTCTGCGCGATATGCCCAAGGGTGCTGTCCTGCACGCTCACGAGTCCGCCATCGCCTCGCTCGAGTATCGGCTCAATCTGACCTATCGCGAGAACCTATACGTGTGCGACGAGAACAGCACCCTGCGGCTCAAATTCTTTAACACGTCCGACAGCGATTGCAATTGGCAATTACTGAGCGACGTGCGGAAAGATCCGGCCCAGACCGATGATATTAACGAGAGGATCATGCGATCCTTGACGATGGTCACAGAGAACCCGAAAAGCGTTTACGCCACCGTCGACAAGGCGTGGCAGAAGTTTGACAGCATCTTCAGGTTTATGAAGCCCTTAGTATCGTACCGACCGAACTATGAGGATCTCTATTATCGTAATCTCCAGGAGCTCTACGACGACAACGTGATGTACGCGGAGATACGGTCGACGCTATCGTCGTTGTACGATCTTCACGGCAACGCGTACGGACCGATGGAAATGGTACAACTCCACAAGGACATCACCGACAGGCAAGACGCTTTTCTTAAATTACCTTCTTTCTACAGCTTCAAATAAGCAAAATTATAAATGAATAAACATAACACGAAAGAACGATTTTGCTAAAGTATTTAAGAATTTAAGAATAAATACTGAACTAAAAAATAATTTCATTTAATCAATTTATATCAAAATAATTTTTTCAATCTCGAAAGTGAAGATTCATAAAAAAAATTTTACTTGTTCCAATATTCGGCGGCTATGCCCAGAAATAATGCGAGCGAAGTAACGTAATAAGCGGACATGACAGGTTTATGAAGGATCATCCCGACTTCATCGGTGCAAAGATGATATACGCGCCGCCGCGTGGCGTCGACCAGGCACGAGTAGACTACTATCTGAAAACGTTGGTGCAGATAAAAAAATTCTATCCGGATTTCGTGGCTGGTTTCGACTTGGTCGGCCAGGAGGACAAAGGAAAACCTCTCATTGAATTTGCCGACAAATTGAATGCCGTTGATCCGGGAATTCAATTCTTCTTCCACGCCGGCGAGACCAACTGGAATGGAGCATCCACCGACATGAATCTCTTTGACGCTTTCTTACTCAATACCAAACGCATCGGCCACGGGTAAATACAATAGAGACTCACGATATTTTCAATAATTTTTTAAAAAATAATCACTATCTGTAAATAAATAGAGATAACTGTAACACTTTTGTTTAAAACATTTTTTGATATTTTGAACAGTTTTCGAAAAAAAAGTTAGATATCGGCTTACCACGTGTGGAAATAATAGCGTTAAACATTAACGGGAAAACAATATAAAACAATATTCGACCGATATGTGTGAACTAGTTTTATAACAAAATTAAGTGTGAAATTCTGATTTTAATGTATACATATAGATTAAGTAAACAGATGAATTTACAAAATATCAGTTGCGGTATGAAAATCGGTTTTGAAATCACTTTTTATAGTAAAGCAATATTTAACTTTTTTCGTTATATCTCGAAAACTATTCAAGATATCAAAAAATGTTTTATACGAAAATGTTACAGTAAAATTATCTTTATTTATTTATGTTAATATTTTTTAAAAATAATTATTTTTAAAAAATGTTATTAAAATAATTATTAAAAAAACTATCAACGTAAATAAATAGAGGTAATTTTCTTTTTTTCACGAATATTCTTCGCGATATTTCTTCAGATACGCGTTAACGAAGCATCCGCTCCTATGGAAGATCGCGCAGCGATTAAATATCGCGGTGGAGGTCTGTCCTATCTCGAACCAAGTTCTCAGTCTTGTGGAGGACATGCGGAATCACCCTGCGGCCAGTTTATTCGCATCGGGATCGCCCGTGGTGGTCTCCAACGACGATCCCGGACTTTGGGGCGCCAAAGGGTTGACCTACGACTTTTACGAGGCCTTCATGGGTATCATGAGCGCCAATTCAGATCTCAGGAGTCTCAAGCAACTGGCGATAAATTCGCTGACCTATAGCAGCATGAACAGACGAGAGAAGTGGAATGCGCTGCAACAATGGCAGATCAGGTGGGACAACTTCGTGGCCAAACTAGCCCAATTAGCCTAACGACGACGGATCGGCACATCAGATGCGAAAAGTGCCTCATCCCTTTTCGCGTCATTGATATGAGCAAAGATGAAAAGAATATTCCCGACAAAACAACAGAACGGTGCCATATAATTTGAATATTCTCAGAATATTTGTAAACAGTATTTTTACATATTGTGTTTTCAGTACCACCGTCAACAATACCACCAAAACTGCGTATTAATTAACTTTACGGAACTGTATTTTATCTTAAGATTCTTATTAGAATTTTATATATGAATTACTACTACCTCATCACATTCTTTAACGATGAATCTGACGATGCATCGCATGGGAATATTTATAATATACTTGTACATACGTCAAATGGATTACGCTTAATGTGAAGAAACCAATTACTATAACGTAGATTTTTCAAAAATATACTGCGCCGTATCTTACGTTTTGTACAATAAGATATAAGAACTGCACAATAAAGTAAATGCTATTTGTTCATAACATACAATGCCATTGTTGATCAATTTGATGCTCGCTGCAAGAGATTGTAAGCTGAATAAGAAGTCCTACAAATCTAAATGAAAATAAGGTATTGCGTCATCTGTAAAAACGTCTAAGATACATCTATTTATGTATATTTATGTTAATCTTTGCAATTATAGCTTTTAGCTTAGCTCAAATGCGCAGATAATTGTCGGAATAATTTTTATTCTTATAATTCATGAATCTCACAATATAAGTAAAAATTTATGTTTTACTTTCCTCTACTTACCCAAGTAAAAGTATTGAGAGATAACGCAAATGCTCCGTGATAAGACATCATTATTCCTTTTTGACTGCTTATCATGATCAGCATCAACGATCTGCGTTCTCGCGGCGTAACCATTGTCCAATCGCTGGTATAAATAGCGGTCGCGATGCCTTTACTCTGCGAAAGAAATTTGTAAAATATTATCCTTCCAATGTAATATTTCTTCGCACGGAAATATTAATTCTTCCCAGTGTAGGATATGCAGTCCCACAATCCGAACAATCGTCGCAAGCTGTTTGTTCATATTGTCAAAACTTTTCAAAACTTTATAATTATCAAATATATTTTTCTTATCTTCTTCTGCTTCTAATGTAAATGTTTCTTTAAAAAAGTGCTTCTGTATAATGTATTATTTTCAACGTTACACTTATTTACCTTCAACTCAAGCTCGTTTCCGTACCAGCAGTAGTAGAACAGTTGAAGCAGTATACCGTTTAGATACAGGAACATCGAAAGAAACTCAAAGCTGAGCAGTTTTTTCTGCAAGAAATAAATATACGTGGTATCGTCGAGGAGACGTAAAACGTCTCTCTTGCGATACCTTCGATATTAGGAAGATACTGGTGCACACAATAAGCAGACTGAAGAAGAAGAAGATCATTACCGTCCACATGAATAACGCTCGTACTTTCTTTACCAGAATGCTCACAAGCAAATGATGTCTGACGCATTCCATGATCGAAGCGCTTGCTTCCCGCTTCCGTCCATAAGAAATGTCGCCGGTGCTCTTTAAACTGTTAGTCAATCGGCAGCACATCAGCTCGATCTGCGCGCAAGCTTGAATCGTGAAGCCGTAAACGAGAGAGTCGAAGGAAACATTAAGCGTTATCGCGTAGAATATCGCCAAAAATTGCTGCAGATACGTAGCTAGATATGGAAGTAGATTTGACACGGAGTATGGGGTGTACGACCTCACCGGCAGCACGCGCTCACCCCCGTTAAGTAGTCCTAAGGCTGGCGTGAGGATGAAGCCTAATCCAGTCACGTACGATATCATCATGAACGTTATAGTGCTCCACTTAGCTGTTACAAACATTTGACTTCCGGTAAAGTAAAAACGCCAGTTGAAGCTAACAGATATTTAATTAATCTTCTATCTTTTATTAGGAAGAAATCAGGAACGTGCGTACACATCGCCGACGCGCAATTAATTTTAATTAATTTTTAACATTTTAGAAATCTAATTTTGCAATTAATATCTTTCATACTTTATATATGTTAAGCCTAATTAGTATTCATAATTTGTAAACCATTGCATACAGTAAACTACTGTATTATACTTGTTGTTATTATTATTATTACTCTTATTATTCAGGAATTTCTTTAGCGGTATTCGTGGCTTTAGTGTATTCGATAAAACTTTAAATGAATGTTTTTTTACTTAAAATTAAATAAGTAACTAAACACTTTTTTTCATTTTGAATATCTTGCCAAAATCCGAGGAATAAGATTATGTAACTTAAAATTATGTAAAGCTGTGAAAAACATTTGTTATGAACAATTTTTTACAAGCCAATCTGGAGATTTGAAAAAAATGTTCGAATCTACTAGACCCACGAATATTGGGTTTAAGCAGAAAAGCAGTAGTCTTTAAAAAGCACAGTGTTTTAACAAAATTTCATGTTTATCGCGGTTGTCAAAGTTACATAATCTTTAATGAACTGCCAAGATAATTAATTAATCATTAAGCAGTTAATCAGTTGAACAATGAAATATTTAACGACTTGCAATACGACTTAATATTAGATGCTGTTAACAAGAAGTGATATTTGCACAGGTGACTATTTGCAGTTACTCTTGATCTTGATCATTAAAGTTGTTTTGGCGCTAACGTTCTAGTATTGACAAAACCTTGAAAATTTAATAAATTATTTCTATTTATTACCTTAACACATGTGCAAAACCTGAAGTCGATTCTCTAACTAGTTCACGAGTTATTCAACTTTTAATTTTGCATGAGTTTTTATGGAATAGCAGCATATTTCTACTTTATCAGCAAAATGATAAAGAAGTAGTATTGCCAATATTCTGAAATTTTGTTTGTGAGTAAATAAAAATTGAGCAATGTTTCTAAAAAAAGTTTAAATAGATTTACTAACCCGTTATCAAGATATTAATTGATAAAGCAACGCTTGTCACTGTTATTCTAATCTCGCATTTAACTACGAAATCGCAAGAAGACCAACTTAAAGTGGAGTGCGGCATCAGGCATTCTATTTTGACAAGTATAAAGTGCTAGAAAGGCAAATATTATGTTAATGACATTTGTTTACATATTTTGTAGACTTTTAATATCTTTTGATGTCTGATATACATTAAATGTTATCAATATGTGTCACGGTTTTTCGTTTCTTGCAGTTGATTTCAAGTGAAATTCACAAAAGTTTTTTGCCGACAATCACAAAACTTGTAAAATATACAAATATATTCATTTGTAGTGCCAAATATCGTATTAATTGGCATTATTTAAGTCCTTTACACAATACGAGCACGATAGATATAGCATATCTTAATTTATAAAAGTATAGACCTTCATCAATTTCAAATTTCAGTCACTTTTGTCTGGGATTGTATAGCCAGAACAACCTTAATGATCCATGATATATATTTACGCTTCGTGATACGTTAAATTTACGTCAAGCAATGTGTATACATCATATCTGTGAATTACTCGAGTACCTCTGCGGCTGTGCTCTTCTATTATCAGCTTCTCCTTGGAATTTCTCGGCCGGCACATTTTTACGCGCAGGCAATTCAACAGATCCGACAGCTCGTTCTCCCGCAGCAAGAAATTCGCGTACTTCATGCACAGCGTAAAGAAAGTCAGCCCCATGAAGAGCCCTTCGGTCAGCTCTTGAACGTGGTCGCGCGTGCGAATCACCTCTATGATATCGAGTATCGTAAACTCGTATATCAAGAGAAAAATCGCATACCTGCAGATACCCACTGCTTTAAATAATCGATGAATAAATTGACGAGAAGAAGAGAAGAAGAGATCACACAGACATGACAAATTTCACAGACCGGAAAACGTCTTGTATATCACGCACTATTTTTACCGTATGATTTACCTGTATATCTGTTACAGCATGTTTATAACATACCTGTAACAAAAGCGCAAAAATCCAACGCACATGTTGTCGTCTTCCCGCTCTTTCCATGCGCCGCAAAAACGTAAAGCTTTAAAGTTTGTCGGTAAAATGTCCATACCTTCGCATCGTTCTCACGTAATTGCCGACTTTATTCTTATTTCTGTTTCAGTGCTCGCAAAATTTTCTTCGTCTTCTTAATAATGTATAAGTTTGTTTTCCTTCTCTTTTTATCGAGACAGTAAAATTTCCGACAACAGTCCATCATTTCGAGCTGCATTAGTAATGCCGCACATTGTCAAGTGCACATTAAACTTTAATATGTCAGTCTCGGTCTCTCATCGGAACCCTTTCTCAACATCGCGTATGTTTCGTTCATCGAAGAAAAGAATTCGTTTTTTCTATTATATAGTACGCTTTTATCATAAAACAGTTGCGTGTTTCGCAAAATAAGAATTTGTTGATCAACTCATCTGTTATGCAATATTAAATATCTGCGGGAAAATAGAGATATGTAGAAAATAATAGTGAACCGGCGAAAGGTACAGACTAGCGCTACGTAAATGATAAACCTACTGCGTAGGCAAGTGGAGTAAAAAAGGTAAGAAATTTCTACGAAATTAGTCCAGCTGGAGAACTAGAATAACTGTATAATTTCTTCAACGTAAATTAATTAAAACTGATTAATAATAATAAAGTGTTGTGCATATGCGTATTTTATACCTTTTAATGTAAATTATTTAAAAAATTATTTAAAAATCTGAAATAAAGTTTAATTTTTGTCAGAAAATATCTTTTTTGTGCCTTATAAAACCATATGTATAAAGCAAAATTTAAATTTTTTACTCACAATATGTTTATTAATTCGACGTTTGATGCAGACGATTAAAAGTTGAGTAAGACTTAAAAATCTGACAAAAAACAAAATTGGATTTCACACTATTTTAATAATATTTTACATGATTAAATATTTTAAATAATTTCTTTTTATATCATCAATTTTATATTATTCAATTTTTTTATATTTGAATCAAATGTTTAAATCAGTTTGATCCTTTGATATCATTAATATAAACATTTCGATTAAGCAACGATAATGCATTCGGTATGCATTGTAATGTTGAAATCAGTTTCATATCTTGTTAACATTGCCACACATATAGATATATTTGTTCCCGAGTTTAGTCATCCAAGTTCAGAGATAACGCAAACATTGTTAGTCGAATAAAAAATTAATCCTTTCTCTGGTTGTCACAATAAATCTCAAGGACTTGTGCTTTCGCAATGTGGCCAACGTTTAATCATTAAAATAAGTAGCGTTTGCGATGTCTCCGCTCAGTGAAAATAAATGCCGATTATACATTCGCATCTATATAATCTGGCTTGATATTTTTT